GAGAGAGAGTGACGAAATAGAAAGGAGAGAGAGGGTTGAGAGAGAGAGTGAGATGGGGAAGGGGAAGACAGAAGGAGGAAGGAGAGAAAAACAGAACCGGAGTTAGACATGAGCTTTCTCTGCCGCTTCACCCCTCTGTTCCCACACTCGTCTGGTGCGGCGCTCACCCAGGCCGCTGCTGCAGAGGCAGCTGTGTGTGCGCGGCTGCGGCTTGGCCTGCTGGCTGTCCAGGACGTGCTGCACCAGCTGCTCGATGGAGAGGTCAGAGGAGCTGTTACTGTTGCTGCAGGTCCACTTGACACTGTGAACTGAGACAGGAGAGAGGAAGAAACCCACTGACTTCTTCTGTAACTGTTGTAGGACAACCGGTGCTGGGCAGGTATCTTCAGGTTACTGTGTCTCAGCGCCCCCCTGTGGTTAACCAGGGTTTTGACAAGCAGTAAGCAGGGGAGGCCACTCACACATGGGCTTGAGCTGACCAATCAACTCATCACGCGTCCAGCGCAGCCACTCACGGCGGTCGCTGGTGACAGAGCACAGCGCCGGGCTGCACGCCTTCCCACAGTCCTCCGCTGACGGCACATTCAGGTAGTGCACCAGGACGATATCCGGGTTCTGGATCGGAACAGAACTGGCAGGTGAGACTGAGGCGCACTACAACACAAACAGGTATCCTGTAGGACACAGAAATATATTCTACAGGAAACAGACATCTTTTACAACACAGACACAAACCTGTTTTATACACATTCCCTTTAGGACTGTTCTAAAAGTATGTATTTCTATGTGACAGGATTCCTGAAGGAATTACAGGGAAAACCCTTGTGGAATTCTGACAGTAAGCAGGAAAGATTCTGCTGCCAAATGCCTGCAGGATTTTCCTTCACAGGGAGACACAGGATTAAAGAGGGTCTGGACCTGTTTCCACAGAGCACAACACAGGGACTTGAGAGCTAAAACGCCACACACAGGAAAAACATGACAGAAAACACAGGATTACAGCTCATATACTGAGACACACCACTGATGTGCGTCCCTATTCTGAAAGCTAAGCTGTGCTTCAGGAAGTGACACAAGATCGAGACAGGAAGTCCCACCTGCAGCAGTGAGTAGCACCTCCTGTGGAATGTTGGGACGATGGAGGAATGGACATAGCAACCATAGAGACACTGTGGAGAGAGAGATGGGCAGCAGGTCAACAGCTAGCCTAGGGCATGGAAGCTCTTTCTGATACAGGTATGGGAGCCAGAACAGATTTCCTCTGGTGAACATCAGTGGGCATAGGACTCTCTCAAGGACACTGGTGGTGGTGCTACTACGTCTGTGGTATTGGCGCGCTCACCTCCATACCCTGCACCTTCAACTTCATATGATCCTCTCTGGTCGTCTTGCCGTCTTTCCTCTTCTTCCAGCAGTAGCCATCCTTCCTGTACTTCACCTTCTTCCTGTTGTACAGGATGATGGAACCATTCGGAGGCCTGGGAGAGAGCCGGAGAGGAAAGGGAGGGAGAAGCACAGGGGAGGGAAAGGTAGAGACAAAGAGGAGGAAGAGAGCAATAGGGAGACAGAGGGACAAAACAGGTAAAGGGCAGATATTAACTGAGAATTAATTACTATTAAATAGCAAACAGCTCATTGTTTGAAGATGGCAGTACTTATACTCATCACCTCATCCATGCAGCGAGACATACCTGGTCTTCAGGGAGCAGGACAACCACTCCTCATGCTTGTCGAACGATAGCAGGTAGGAAGCGATTTCCTGGAAATCAATTTAAGAAGAGAAAGAACAATCATGTCATGAGCAGGTTCTGGCCATGTTCCCCCACCTGTCTCCGTTTTCCTCATTCTTCTCTCCCATCCTTGTCTTCATCTCTCTCCTCACTTCTTCCATCTTTGTCTCCTCATTTCTCCTATTCTTCTCTTCCTCTCTCTCCTTATCCCTCCTATCCCTCTTTCTCCATCTCTCCCACCTCGTGTCTCACCTCGTTGGTGTTCCAGCGCAGTCTCTCCTTGGGCAAGGCCACACTCCTGGGCAGACACTCCAGCAGCTTGTTGGGCAGAAACACCTTCATGTGGCTGTTCCTCTCTGGTCACACACACAGGAGTAACATCAGTGCTGCATTTCACTGCTGAACAGTTTTGTCCCTGCTGTGTACCTGGACTCGCGTAACTGTTGTAAAGCTGGATGTTTGCATGTGTACCTGTCCAGTGTTGTACAGTTGTGTGTCAGTGCTGTGTATCTGTGGTGTGTATTACAATTGTGGAGTCCCTCACCAGGCTCTGTTGACGCCTCCTTGTTGTTCATGTTGAAGCTGCAGTGGTGACTCGGGGCAGAGCTCCACCAGCCAGGGGGCGCTCACACCAGCCAGGGAACCCTGGGCTGCACCACTAACACTGCAAGAGGGGGAACACAGATGACATCATCAAAAACAGACAATTTCAACACTGACAGATACATCTGATCTCACTGTCAGAGACAACACTCACTCACAGATACGTCATCAACACCC